GTATTTGAGTCCATGCCACCCCTGGGAGACACCTACATGGAGCTGTGGTTTCTGGTTGCCACCTGTCTCAGACGTGGCTCTTATCGGGCATTTGGGGCCTGAATCAGTAGATGGCTGTCCTCTCACTGTCTCTCCCTCCCTCTACCTCTGCCTTTCAAAGAAACAAGTCTGCAAAAAAAAAAAAAAAAAAATTCAGAGCATAAGACAGACCTGACATTCATGAGGATGGGGAGGAAAAACTCAGCCCAGCATTGGCGCAATAATAATTTGCTTAATAAAGGTAGTGGATATGAGAATGGAGATAACTTGAAGCTTGGTGGACAAGCTCTGACTTCTAGTGGAGATACTTACCTGACAGAGAACTGAACAACCACCCAGGAGGCCCAGGGTCAAGTATCAATTCAGGCACAGTTGAACCAGGGTCTAAATGATGTCACAGCTCTCCACTGGGCCCCTGCCAACAACAATCTCTGCCTTTTTTTAAAAAAAAAAAAATGTTTATTTATTATTGGAAAGGCAGATCAGATTTATAGAGAAAAAGAGATAAAAATCTTCTATCCACTAGTTTACTCCCCAAATGGCTGCAACGGCCAGAGCCAAACTGATCCGAAGCCAGAATTCCCACACAGGTGCAGGGTCCCAAGTCTTTGGCTCATCCTCTACTGCTTTCCTAGGCCATAAGCAGAGAGCTGGATGGGATGGAACATGAATCGGTACCCATATGGGAAGCCAGCACTTGCAAGGTGAGAATTTAGCCCAATCTCTCTTTGCACACTGGTCCCCTTCTCTCCATCGCAGAGTTGTTTTGTTTGCTGGTTTGTTCAGCTTGGGCATGTGCCAAGCCCTGAACCAGAATGATGTGTTAGCATGACTCAGAGAGCAGCCTCCAGAATCACAAAGCGTGGGGAATGGGATGGGGGATGGCATATATGGCAGGGAGGGAGAAGAGCTCTTCAAAGGACAGACCCCAAGCCTGGCTTCCAGGCTATCTGTCCCCCACGCCTATGTCTACCCTATGGTCTAGCACAGTCCTCAAGGATCACGGCAGGGAGGAGGTGCCCAGCAGGATGCAGGGGGAAGGCAGGGCAGCTGGGCTTTCCATCTGCTTGCTCCTGGCTCCTTTGGAGTGTAACACTTGAGCTTCAACGAAGGGCCATGGACCGACCATTTGGACAGGTGGAGAAGCAAAGCTTCTAGAAGGCAGGGTTTATAACCACCAGCTTACCTTTAGATTCTTCACCTTTGGGCGGAAATTTTTACAAAATGACCTGCACTTTTTTCTTTTTCTTTCTTTCTTTTTTTTTTAAGACTTTTTAAATTGGAAAGTCAGATATGCAGAGAGGAGGCGGGACAAAGAGGAAGATCTTCAGTCTGATGTTTCACTCCCCAAGCAGCCCAATGGCCAGAGCTGAGCCCATCCAAATCCAGGAGCCAGGAGTCTCGTCCAGTTCTCCCAAGTGGGTGCAAAGTCCTAAGGACTTGGGCCGTCCTTGACTGCTTTCCCAGGCCACAAGCAGGGAGCTGGATGGGAAGCGGGACACCAGGGTTAGGATCTTGGAGATGCTAAGTGAGGACTTTAGCCACTAGGCCACCACGCTGGGCCCATGACCTGCACTTTTCAACGAGACCACCAGAGGGCGCATGGAGTCCAACTTCCCCACCACAGACAGGCTCTGCTAACATCTGGGGTCAGGAGAGAGGAGGGGGCAGGAAAGGGTGGAACTGAGGAGCTAGGAGATCACTGTGCAGCTTGGGTCAAGCTGACAGACTGTTCTGGATCCTCTGGGTCAGCCCAGACAGGGATACCAGCAACTCATCTCCACTACTTCCAGGTCCTGTGGGGCCGAAATGGCGTAGGGGGATGCCTGGTGCCAGAGAAACTGGGGCAAGTGGCATGGCCACTACCCCAGCAGGCAGGCTACAAGCAGCTCACGGGAAGTGTCTGCAGTGAAAAACCTCGTTTGTGAGCTTGGCCTTGGTCAAATCAGTCGATCTGTCTGGTGCTCGGTCTGGGGTGTCCAGTAACTTCTTGGTTCAGGGTGGGAGTGAAGTTCATCTTTTAAAATGCTACTCATGCTGGAGGCGTAGCTTCTGTGGTCAAGCTCTGCAGAGGTCTAGGAGCTGCCTTCTGTATAGGCATGACAACCCAGGAAAATGATGGCCCATGATGGCTCTGGACCCTGGCACTGCTATCTGGGAGGGGGTGGGAAAAAATCCCAGCCCCACCCCCACCCCCAGCCTCACCACTTCTCCCTGTGCCCAGCTGCTTAGCCCCAAGCACAGTCTGAGCCATTGAGGTTCCCCACTGGCTGAGTGGCAGGAGACATGTGGAAGTGGGGAGATGGAGGCGGAGCACAGACGCATCCAGATGTGTGCATGACCACCTCGGGGACAGCAGGCGGCAAGCAGGCAAATGGGGAAGGAGACCTGCCTCTCAAGCTGTGCCCACCCAATGCGCACCAGGCATTTGGGAAGCCTGGGGCAGCAAGCAGTTGCCCTCACCTGGTTGAGGGCTGCTGATCCCAAAACCTACACAGCAGTGCCAGGAGCCCCATTATTGGCCAAGGGCTCCTTCCCTCTCTTCTGCACCAATCCCCCCCGCCCCCCATCGAGCATCAGAATCTTGCCTGGACAAAACTGAATCATGAGGGTCCCACCTGTTCTCACCCTAGTGTCTCCTCTGGCCCTCTCTCCTGTGACCTCCAGAGCTGCCACAGCTGGAACCATTCTCCAAGCTGCCTTTCAAGCATGCTGCTGTCCCCCTCCCCCGCCCCCACCAACTCAGCCCCAGTGGCCCCTATAATTGTGGTCTCGGGCGGCGGCTGCGGGGGCTGGGGCTGGGCTGAAGGCCAAGGCCCAGGGCGGGACCAGGGTGGGGCTGGGGGCTGCTGATAGGGGCTTGGTCCTGGCCTGGGTCCTAGGGGGCTGACACTACAGCTACAGATGCTGTCTCGGCCTCATTGCCATCCAATGCCTGTGTCCAGCCCCTTCCCCTTCCACTGACTGAGGCCAGTGGTGGAGGGGCCCCAGGCTGGGGTGCTCAGAGGCCCGTACATACGGGATGGGCCAGTGTGCAAAATCACACTTGCCTCCTGGGCTTTTGTGGGGGGCCCCTTCTTGACCCCTTTTTGTATCTCCTCAGAGTGGACATGAGGAGCAGAGAATCCTCCCTGTGGAGGAGGCTGCCAGTTACCCCAGCAGGCCCATGGCTTTTCATAGAGTGCCAGTAGCACTGGGCTGCACTGACTGGCTGCAAATGCAGACTTCCAGGCCTTGTTCTGGGAAAGGCTGATTCAGCTGTGCAGAGCCTGGAATCAGCATTTCCCACGCAGCCTACCCTAGAGCATCCACGTGATCTGGCCAGTGTGGGAACCCCTGCATGTGAGCGAGCCCTAGGGTGGGGGGCAGAGGAGACCCCTTGAACCTGAGTGGGAGCCCACTTCCGGTGTTGGGGGCTAAGCCTCAGTTTCCTCCGCCCCCCCCCAAGTCAGTGGGGAGCCTGTCAGTGCCCTCTCCATCTCTGGGATCCAGCGGCTGCCTCTGCTCCCATCCTCACACCCCAAACTATATACTACGTCTGACCCCTACTCTGTGTTGCCCGTGTCCTTGTGCACAAGTGGAGAAATAGAGTGGGGAGGGCCAGGGGTGGCTGGGGTCACCCAAGGCTCTGGCTGATGGCTGACGCAGGCAGGCAGCTTCCTGCCTCCGGCTGTTTTCCTGCTGTCCAGCCCGACTGCTCTCCCCCCACTGCCCCACCCCCACCCCCAGCAGCCTCAAGCCCTTAATTCCTGACAGCTGCGGTGGCTGTCGGGGTGGAGATGGGGGGGAAGGAAAGAGGGTGTGGGGGGACTATGCCATCAGCCAGCAGCACCCCTTTCCCCCCACCTGACAGTCTGGATGGGGAAGGTCCCGCCCCTCTTTCCTAGCTCCCTGGGAACAGGCGATTCCAGGAATGGGCCTCTTTTGTTTCTGAGCCCAGAGGCACCACAGAGACACTCTTCTGCAAGAGAGGAGTGAGGAGGGATGTGTGTGCTGCCTCAGTGCCCCAGGCCTGTGCCCATTTTCCAGAGGGGAATGCTGAGGCCCCTGCAGACTAGGATTTGCTCTTAGCACCCAGGTTAAAAACACAATTCAAAGCCACCCAGATCCCCTTGTCCCCATCCGTTGGTTCTCAGACTAGGGCTGAGCACCTTATACCCCTTCTCCCCAACCAGCAGAGCCAGGGTAGGACTCAGAACATCCATGGGCACAGGCCAGTGGCACCCTACTTCTGACCTTCAGTCAGTGGTGACCCTCTTGTGTAGCCCTCCATTGTGTGTGTGTGTGAAATAAAAGGGGCTAAAGTAAGATGATCTCAAAACCCACCTGTAGGCTGCCCTTCACTCATCCCAGGAGGGCGGCCCTAGGGCGCCCAGCTACCCAGCAAGCCTTATCCCCACAGCCTGGGCACTTGGGCCCTCATTAACTCCCTGGCTACTGGAGAGTCAGGTCTCCTTAACCTCACTGCACAAGGGGCACAGCTGGCTCTCTAAGCAGAAGGCACCTGCTGAAGGCCCCACAGCAAAGACCAGGGAGAGCCAGAGGCTCTTTGCTGGACCCCATATCTGTTTCTTCACAAGGCAAGGGAGTGTCCCTGCCTTCCCTGCAGGTGTGTGTGTATGTTGGGGCGGAGGTGCCCCGCCTACATGTGCCCAGCCAGATTCACATATCTTGCTTTACACACTTTGCCTGCACAAACCAGTGTACTGCTCAGGGGGCACACTCCCCCACCTTCTCTCCCTTCCTCCAGTCGCCCTCCTTGCTTCCCCTACCTTCTTCGTGCCCTTGCCACGGCCGCTCCCACCCAGTCCCGAGCGCACACGCCTCCACACCCCTGTCATGACGTCACGTGGAGTAGAGCCCTGAGACACCAAATGGGGGGGTGGAGGAAAGGGGAGGCGGCGGAGCTCCCCAAGCCGGGACAGTCACTCGCTTTCCGGGCGTGTGAGACCGAGCACAGGCACAGACAGCGCCACCCCCCACTCGCCCGTCTCGCACGCCCTCAGAAGCCCAGGCTTGCGGCGCAGCGCAGGGAAGGGAGGGCTTCCCGGCACACACCCCCCCACTGCGTCTCGAGCCCCCCCCCCCACCCCGGGCCCGCTGCACCTCCGGAGCCCCCCTTTACCCTCGAGAGGCACCCAGGAGTTGTCTCAGGAGGGGGCGGCCTTGGGAAATTCCCCGGACCCCTGTGCCAGGAGGTGCCCGGTTCGCCCGCTCCCCACCCCACCCCCCGAGGGCGGTGCCCGGGGGCGCTGCCCCATGGAGCGGGGAGGCGGGCGCCGTCTGCTCCCGGAGCCGTGACCCGAGTCGGAGCCGCGTGTCGCAGCCACCCCGACCCCCCCACAGCTGATCATGCGCCGCCGCCCCGGGCTTGCCAGTCCCACCGGACTGTGAGCCCCCCCCATTCCCCACCCGTCGCGGCCCGCGCGCCATGGGCAGCGCCCACCCTCGCCCCTGGCTGCGGCTCCGACCCCGGCCCCAGCCGCGGCCCGCGCTCTGGGCGCTCCTGTTCTTCCTTCTGCTGCTGGCTGCTGCCGTGCCCAGGTGAGCCCACACTTTACGCTCCGCCCTCTGGGAGCCGCTGGGACCCCCGGGGCACGCGCTGGGACTTCTGCTTCTTCTGCTGGGACTAGGGGGACCTTGGATGAGGAGGGAGGGAAAGAATCACAGGGAAGGCGCTGATGCCCAAGAAGAAACCCTCAGGGCACTCTCTCCTGGGAGGAAGTTAGGCGGGTAACAAAACCGGGCAGTCCTGGAAGGCAGGGCAATGCCCAGGGGAGACAGGGCAGCTTGGAGTGGAGGTGAATGTGGAGGGAGCAGCGGCCACCTGGGTCCCTTGAAGAAAGTGCACCTGGCCCCAGGAGAAAGGACATAGTGACCACAGTCCTCCATCTTCAAGGCCTTGCCCCCCCCCATGGCAGGAGGGGGCAGGGGTACCTGGAGGGGAGTGGGGAGCCTAAGTGAGGTCTGGGAGAGAGCTGGCTAGCAGCTGTAGCCAGCAGCGTTGGTGTGTTTGTGTGCGTGAGTGTGAGAGCGTCTGGGTCCATGCGTGTTAAGACAAATACAGGGTACCTATGAGTGTCTGATGGCTCGCGGCTAGTGTGTCTACACCAACCACGGCGGGCCCACGTGGCTGCTGAGGCTGGGGCTGGGGCTGTGTGTCCACCTCTCTGTGTGCACAAGTGTGTCTGCAGGGAGGTGATGGCTTGAAACTGGCCTTGGCCAAAGGGACTTCCGCGGACCCTGTGCGTGCCATAGAGGTGCTAATGAGCTACCACTGTGTGCGGAGGCCTAGTGGACCTGTGTGGGCATATGCGCGCCTGTGTGTGTTGGAGGGGTTGATGGTGAGGAGAGCAGGAAAAGCAGATACTTTAGGGGGCTACTGATGGGCCTAACCTCTGGGGACCCAGCAGTGCATGTGCCTCACCCAGCCCCCTCACATGCCCGCAGGTCAGCACCCAACGACATCCTGGGCCTGCGCCTGCCCCCGGAACCCGTGCTCAACGCCAACACGGTGTGCCTGACGCTGCCCGGCCTGAGCCGGCGGCAGATGGAGGTGTGCGTGCGCCACCCGGATGTGGCTGCCTCGGCCATCCAGGGCATCCAGATTGGCATCCATGAATGCCAGCACCAGTTCCGGGACCAGCGCTGGAACTGCTCCAGTCTCGAGACGCGCAGCAAGATCCCCTACGAGAATCCCATCTTCAGCAGAGGTAGCTGCCACTGGCTCCTGTGGCCTCCCACCCCTCCAGCCACCCACTTCCCCGCCTGCCAGGCACACCACCAGGCAAGGGGCACCGGAAAATGGATTGGATGTGGCTGCTGCAGGGGGTGGGGGTGGGGTGTGTGGCAGGTTCTGCGCTTAGCTTAGTGCACCCCAACCGGAACGCCACCTACCTCTGGCCCAGGAAACACCCGTGTTGGTGAGCTGCTTCAATGTTGCCTCTTCTTAGCAAGCCACATCTAGGATGGAGAGGCCTTGAGAGTACCCCGCATCAGCACTAAGAGAGCTCGGGGACTGTGCTAAGTGATCCAAGCAAGGTTTGCCTTCCCTACCGGCAAGGTAAACCTTGGTCACATGGGGTGCATCACCAGGTTCTGTGTCATCCCTCCTGCACCCACCTTCCCCCAACTCCTCTCTGAAACAGAGACACAAGGAGTGTGAGTGCCTGGGCAGGGAGGCTCAGGCCCAACAGGCCTGCCTGTCTTGCCAAGCCGCTCTCCAACGACCTCCCATCCCACCCCGCACAGCTCAGAGAAATTGCACCCCATTTCTGAATGGCTCGGAGCCCACCCTGACAAGCCCTGGAGTGATTTGGGCTGAAGTCGAAGGTGGGCTTACGCTGCTCACTTCTGTTCACATCCACCTCCCGAGTCTGCTGTCTTAGGCCTAAGGGTTCCTGCCACTAGATTGGCCTCTCTGGGTGTCTTCCCCCTCTTCTTTGCCGCTTGGGGACAGTGTGGGAAGCCCGCGGCCTCGACTCCTTGGGTCACCTCCAATTCTCAGCACGCCAGGAGGGGTCCTCATATGCCACTTCACCTGGGGCTGCCTGGAGGGACTGTGGCTTCTGGGGGGAGCCAGGCTTCAAGGCGCCCACTCCTCTACTAAGGGCTTCTTCCTTGGCACCAGGATCCCAGACTGGAAGGGGGGCGGGAGGAGCCCCCTAAGTCAGGGGCCACGAGGAGTCCCCCAAGTCAGGGGCCAAGGCAGTCTCCCTCGGCCGCCCGCCCCGCCCGCGCGCTCTCTCCCGCCTCCCCCGCGCGCCGGCCCCGGGCGCCGTTTCTGCCCGCCGAGCACAGCCTGCGCGTGTGGCGGCTTGCAGCCCTAGCTAATCCCCGCGGGCCGCCAGCCGCCTCCCGGCCCCCCGCCGCCCGCGCGCCGGCCCGCCCGTCCCTCCCGCCCCGCCGCACGCTCCGCGACACCAAGTGACAGGCCCCGACCGCGTCGGGCCGGTGCTCCCTGCCGCGCGCGCCTGCTTCCCAACATCGGGTGGCTGGCGGGCCCGGAGTCCTCGCTTGACGGGGGAAGGGAAGGAGGTGTTCCCGTTCCCCCAACCCCACCCCAGCGCTTCGGGTGCAGCCAAGCTGGGCGAGTCCTGCAACGCGCTTCCCGGCCCCAGCGTTCCCCTCCGCTCCGCCTGAGCCCTGCAGTGTGAGCGAAGGCAGCCAGGCGTCCCGATCGCTCTCCAGGGTCAGGCGCCTGCGGCCGGCCAGGGGAAGGATCCGGGGGTCTTGACAGCTCGGCGGGGCAGAGGGGTGAGGAGGGGAGCGGGGAAGGGCGCAGGCTTGGCGTGACGCCAGGAGCTCCCGGGTTCACCTGCAGTTTAATAAGCGGGAGGTGAGCTGGGGGGACGAGTGGGGGAGAGGTGAGGGGTGGAGGGGGAGGCTTGCCGGGGCTAGCCGGGCCGGGGCGGCGCCCGGAGCGGGCAGGGGGCGGGACCGAGGTTCGAGGGGCGGCGCCGGGGGCGGGGCTCGCGCCCCGGCCTGGGCATGCCACCTTACCTCTGCGGCTTCTGCTTCCACCTCCGCCCCACCCTAACCCCACCGTCTGACACCTGACTTTTCCCTCTCTTCGGAGGGGACTCTGGACTGCTGAGGGAAAGTCATGGCTCCCCACTTCCTTCTGCGGGTGACCACCCCGGCGCCCCTCCACTCACATCCGGGTCCATCCTCCTCTAGGGTCATTTCCTGGTCCATCTTGACCCATCTCCTCCAAGACTAGCTGCACTGGAATTTCATGAAGCCGTTCCTGGTGGTAGTCAGTCCCTAGTTGTATGGCCTCTGTCTCTCCCCACACACTCATGTGGTCGGCCACTTCCAGCTGTCCCAAATGGACTCTCCAGGAATGACCCCTCCTCTGCCCCAGGTGGTGGGGGGAGGGACAAGGGGAGGCACTGCCCCTTGGGCCTCCTTTAATCTTTCTGTTTCTCACTGTCCTAACATCTTCCACGAGGTAACTTTGTTGACAGGGTTGGGTTCTCATGCAGGAGGGAGGGCTAATGCTTGAACCCTTGGAGTGACTGAGCCAGGAAAAGCTTCACCCAGCCAGAGAGAAAGCCTAGGGCTGCTGGACCGCCTGGTGGGGCAGGGGGTGGGGGCTGGGACAGGTGGGTACAGAGGGGTAGGGCAGGAAGCCCCAGAATAAGCACAGGATTGATGCCCTGCCCAGGCAGCACAGCACAGGGGCAGCTGTGACCTGAGTGCCTAGGGCAGTGGGATCCCCAGCTTGCTCACATGATTGGAGCCTGGGCTGTGGGCTGGGCAGACTCTCTGGATATAGGATGCCCCTGCTGAGTGCTGTCTGGAGTGAGAGTTTTGATGGAGTGGCATGGAGCAAAACCTAGCAGCCCCGACCCAGGAGTGGTGTGGGGCATTGCTGTGCTTCCAAAGGCCCAGGCTGGAGTGGAGGGCAAGAATGGTCATGGGACCAGGGGAAGCTAGCTGCTTCCAGGTTCCGCCTCCACTCTCCAAGGCAGCCCTGGCTCTTTCCCCACCTTGCTTGTACATTCATCCATGGGGTCTTGGTTATTATATGTAGGTATGTATGTATGCACTTTAAGATTGAAGCTAGGAAAAAGAATATATATATAAAGATTGGAGCTCATCCAGTCTGAAGCCAGAAGCTTCTTCCTGTTCCCCTACGTGGGTTACAGGGGCCCAAGCATTTGAGCCAACTTTTGCTGCTTTCCATTAACAGGAAGCTGGCCCAGAAGTGGAATAGTTGGGATTCAAACTGGTGCCCATATGAAATGCCATCACCACAGAGGCTTAACCTACTATGCCAACCTCACCCCATGTGGGGGGATGTGTGTATGTCTAGGTTTTATATCTAGGCCCCCAGGGCTTGGAGTGTGTGGTGGAATTCAAATGGGGAAACTGTAGATCGTTGATCCCAGGATCTATTCAGAGCCCATTATTCTAATGACACCCAATGCATCAGGCAACATGTAGCAAATGCTTGCTGCATATTGGGTGCTGTTCTCCAGCACTTTCCCTACACTTAAGGGTTCTTGAAGGGCACCCATGCAGCAGGTCCTATTATTATCCTCATTTTTACAGATGAAGCTGAGAGGTTGGGTAACTCACCATTAGTCACACAGCTTCCCAGGAAATAGGAGAGCCAGGCATTAAACAGTGCCTGCTGACTTGAGAGCCTGCACCCAACCCTGCCACCCCCGGCCTGCCTCCCGAGCTGCTAGGCCAGCAGCAGCTCCCACCGAACAGCCAGAGGGGAGCCAGTGCACTGGGTGGTGTCTTCCAGGAGGCGAAACCCCTGCATGTGCTTGTGCAAATGCGTAGCACCATTCAGTGTCTTGCCAGAGGGCTTCCATATGCACCAAGGTCTCTGTGCCCAGGCACACAGATGACTTGCATCACGAAGAGAAACCAGGCCTCCCTCCTTCCCTCTCTCTTTGACTTGAGTCGGGGGAGGGGGGTGTTTCAGGCCTCTCTAAGCCCTCCTAGCTCTTCCATCTTCTCTCCTCCACACTGTCTTGCCCTCCCAGCCTCCTCCCCAGCCCCTTCCTGGCCGTTGGCTGCGGCCTGTAGCAGCAGCTGACTCCACTTAGAGCCTGGCAGTCCCTGTCCCAGATCAAAGGCAGAACGGCTAATTGTGTGTCTTAACGAGCCACCCCCCCCCTCGCCTTGCTCCGGGGCAGCCCAGCTGGCCATGGCCCCACCCTACTCCCCTTCCAGCTGGCCAGATGGCGCAGTGCCTGCATCTACCCTAGACAGTCATGGCCAGGACTGAAACTGGGGCCCTGTACCAGAGAAAGGGCAGACCCAGGGGGTGTTGGACTTCTCTCTGAGGACTGGATACTTGGAGCAGAGGGTAGCTACGCTGGCCTTGCGCAGTCTTTCCTACACATGGCTGTGACAACTGTCAGTGCCCGTGATGGGGATGTGGGGTACTAGCGGCAGGCATCTTTAGCTGCATGGGGTTGTGGGGGAGGGGGTTCTTTGTAGGCTTCAGATTCATGCTTGCATAACCAGGAAGGCGGTGGTTGGTCCTGTACACCCCTTCTGGACCAGTCCCTTGATGCTCATTCCCCATATCAAGTGCAGACAGGACCCAGGGAACTGGAAATTGTATTGCCTAGGGGGATTTTTCTCAGTTGCAAAGACTACCTTTAACAGAAAGTCACCAGGCCTGGGAGCTGGGACAGCTGGGTCTGGGCCCAGGTCTGTAACCTCTGGGACCTTGGGCTTCCCACATTTGCATAGTGTGTGTGTGTGTGTGTGTGTGTGTAGGGGGTGGCTGATGTCTGAGTCTTGGGCTGCCTCTGCAGGGCTGAGTACTGCCACATGGCCTAGCAGCAGCAGGCTGACGGCTCCAGGCTCCAGGCTCTAACAGAAGGGCTCAGAGTGACAAAGATAACAGGCAAGCAATAAATGCAGGTGCACATCGCAGGGACTGGGTCAATTTTCCTTCCTACCCTATACCCCTGCAGGGCCCCATCACCCCAAGGTATTCTCCTGATAATTCCCATCATCCCCTTGGAGGACCCATGCCCTTTTGTCTGCTCCTAACCACAGATTCTGAGATGCTTCATGGACTTCCTGAGGCCACAGGGGTCTGTTCTACAATGAGTCATGACCTGGGCTGTCCCCTGGTCAGAGTGAAATGGAAAGCCATGGCCTGAAAATCCTGCAGGAAAGAGAGAGTGCAGTCAGCAGGAAGTGCTCCACGGCAGCTGGGGATCACACAGTGCCTGCTACTACTCACTTGAAGCTTGCGACTCATTTTCTTCATGGAACCGCGACGAGGCAGATAATACTAACCCTGGTTTGCAGATGAGGAAACTGAGGCATGATGAGGTCAAGGTCACTTGGCCAAATGGCTATTAACAGCCCATAAACAGAAGAGCCAAAATCTGGACAGAGGCAGCCTGGCTCCGCAGATCAGTTCCTCCTACTCCTCATATTATCATGATTTTGTCCAGGCAGGAAGAGGAGGACAGGGGTCTGGGATGTAGGGAGTGCGAGTGTACAGCTAGGACTGGGTTGGAGTCCCTGTCCAGTGTGCACTCCTGTGAGTTATTGCTGATACTGGGATGGAAGGCTCCAACCTTTGTGCTGATTCTTTAGCATCCTCCATGGCTGTCAGCTTGCTGCCTGCCAAGTCTGGGCTTCACCCATGGGGTTCATGGCACAGATGAATTCTCCTCTCTGTGTGGGAGCTCTTTTTGCTGTTGGCTTCTCTTACTGTCGCCCCCCCCCCCCCATCTCTCTATCTCTTTCTCTCTCTGGGATCCAGAGGCTGCTTAGAGGCATGTATTAGAATCTCTGGCTGGCTGGTCCTTTCTGAGATACAGAAAGCCTGCAGTAGCCTGCAGATCCCAAAACTGGACCTTCCAATGCACAAAGACCTCCCCTGTCACAGGCCTAGGGCATACCCCAAGGATAGCTCAGGTGTGAGCACCATGATGGACAGCAGGGCAGATAAGTGGGTGTCCATATGAGGCTTAGAGCTTCCTTGAAAGTCTAGGGGTCTCCCTGCCGGTCCTTCCCTCTCATTTTTCCATATTAGATCCTCTGCAAATCCCTGCACCTGCCTCTGGCATCCCTCACGCAATTCTTGGGCTAATTCAGATGGATTGCAGACAGATTGTCCAATTCTGAGTAACTTCCAGGCAGGCATGGGAGGTTAACAGGGACTTGCTGCTGATTGCTGCTGGAGCCTGGCCAGCAGGGAGGCTTGTGGTGGGCACATAGAGCAGACAGGTGACCTTAGGGTAGAGGGCTTTAGGAGCCAACTCCCACCTTCTGCCCCACGTGGGACGGACAGCCCCAGCAGCCTGGAATTCCATCCCCCGGGGAATTTACTCTTTAGGTCAAAGGGTGCCTGCTTTCTAGACTTTGAAAACTGCAGGCATCACTGCAAAAGAGAACCGGTAAGATATCTAAGGGGAACACACTTAAAGGATGTTTGCTGGAAAGACCAAGCTGGCTGCGGATGCTGTCAGCAAAATGCAGTGGGTGAAAGGGGACTTAAAGAAAGAGACTGGCGGAAGACACCCCCCCCCCCCCCCGCCCCTTGCAACATCGCTAAGAACAGAACCTTGAGCCTCATGTGCTGAGAAGGCTGGGCAGGGCAAGGCAGGGCAGGCAGGGCGATGGGACATTGAGTCCTCTCCAGGGTCCATGTTTTCTGGGTCTCTCTCACTGCAGGTTTCCGAGAGAGCGCCTTCGCCTACGCGATCGCTGCAGCGGGTGTGGTGCACGCTGTGTCCAACGCATGCGCCCTGGGCAAGCTGCGGGCCTGCGGCTGCGACGCTTCACGTCGCGGGGACGAGGAGGCCTTTCGACGGAAGCTGCACCGCCTGCAACTGGATGCGCTGCAGCGTGGAAAGGGCCTGAGCCACGGGGTCCCTGAGCATTCCTCCCTGCCCCCAGCCAGCCAGGGCCTGCAGGACTCTTGGGAGTGGGGCGGCTGCAGCCCGGACGTGGGCTTCGGAGAGCGCTTCTCTAAGGACTTTCTGGACTCCCGAGAGCCTCACAGAGACATCCATGCGCGCATGAGGCTGCACAACAACCGGGTCGGCAGGCAGGTGAGCGTTTCAGCCCCCTGGGCCTGCTGCTTCTCCAGGCCCCTCTTCTCTTCCGGAGCACACACAGTGCACATGTGCGGTTCCCTGTTCTTCTTAGGACTGGGTCAACACAGTACCTACTGTGTACCAGAGAGTAGACTGAGTCCAGGGACACTAAAGGGCACTGGCCCAGCATGTCGTCTTGCAGAGCCACCTGCTCCTTGCCTAGCCTCTGAGATCCCGGCAGTCAGAGCCTCCCATTTAAAGCTAGAAGGCTCTGCTCTTGGTGGAGCTCTGATCTCTATATCCTGGGTTTCCTGTGCTGTCTCCCGCAGTGAACTGTGTTCCACTGGCCTTCTTCTCAAAAGCCAATATGGCCTCTAAGGCTATTTATCCAAAATTACTAAATGCCAGTCAAGGTAAGGCGAAAGAGAGCAGTCTGAACTGGCTTAACTACACCTTCAGCGCTAACCTAGCCACTGCCCTATTTAGTCCTTACAACGCTGCTGCTCAGATGTGGAAACTGAGGCACAGATTGACTAAGAAGCTTACCCAAGCCATGTGTGACTGGGAGAAAGTGGTAGAGGCAGGATCCACCCCCAGGCGCTGGGGCTGGCGCCCGAGCAATTTTGGCTTTCACCGCCCCTTGCCCCACTTTCCCCAGGACCTATAACACCCAGTCTGTTCGGTGAGTTGACGTTCCATCGTTCACATAGCAGCCCAGCTCCTGTGGCCTGCCTGTTCTCTTCACACCCTGCCCTGGACCCTGTCCAGTGTGCTGGGGCCTACCTAGCTGGCACCATCTCCATCTCACCTCCCCTCCATCTCACCCCCCTTCCCTTTTTGTTGGCCTCTCAGCTCACACTGTTTCATCTCCTTCCTCCACAAAGACTGACTCAGCAGCTCTCTTTGCGATGTAGAGGCGGGGTAAACTGAGGCACACCTGCCCTCAGGCCATGTCCAACTCCCACCCAGCCCTGCCCTGTCTGTGCAACTCTTCTCCCCCACCCCCATCTTGAAGATACCTATTCCGACCCGGTAACCCATAGTGCCTCCTCCTGTGTCCCTGCTCCTCCTCCTCTTCCTCGTTAAATTGGTTAATTAATGGCTGCTGCTTGTGGGAAGCAGATGTTCTGAAGCTGTTGGCCTGGGAAGGCTCTGGCTGCTTCCCACGTGGTGCTGTCACCATGGGCTGTGTGTGGGAGCCAGGGAGCCCTCTAAGACCCCTGAAGCGGGGGGTGGGGGTGGGGGGGTGGGGGGGCGAAGTCGCTCCCTTGGGGTCCTGCAGTCCAGCTTTGAGGACTCCAGCCTTGGTCTCCCAGTCCAAGGGTGTGAAGTTGGGGGTGGTGAGGAAAGAGGCTGCAAGTCACCTCCTTTGGGGTGGCTGGTGAGTCCAGGCTTATGGGATCCATGATGGGCAGTCCCTAGGGGAGGCTGGGAGCAGGGAGGGGGCTGCAGAGGAGGCCTGGGAGACCCCACTTCCTCTGACTTTCTCTCGGCTCTCTTCTCTCTTTAGGTCTCTTCGGTCTTGGTGCTGGGGGTGGGGGGCTCCCTTCCTTGGAGGTAGCCTGCCCCCCTCAGTCCCTGTCACCCTATAAAGGAGAGGAAGACCTGGTGGGAGGGGTGGGGAACTGCTCCCCCTGCCATGGGGGGCTTTGGGACTGCTGTGGAGGTGGGTGTAACCCCTTCTCCCCACTGGGAGGCATGGGAGGGGGAAGGGAATTTCCCCCAGAAGAGCTGGGATCCCCCCTCAGGAAGCAATGCGCCTCCAGCCCCAAGAGCCCCCAGCAGCTGCGGGAAAGACCAGCCCGAAGGAGGGGAGCCCGGAAGGAGGGAATTCCCCTAGGGCCTACCCAGGAGAGAGGGGGAGAAGGAAGGGATGCAGCAGGAGAGTGAGCTGAGGAAGAGAGCAGCGGTCCGGCCTCCTCCTCCTCTGGCCTCCGAGGGGTGGCTTGCAGGCCTGCCTCAGCGTGGGGGCAATGGACGGGGGTCCGTGACTGCCAGCGTCAACCCCTCACGGTGCCTCCCTCCTCAGGCGGTGATGGAGAACATGCGGCGGAAGTGCAAGTGCCACGGCACGTCGGGCAGCTGTCAGCTCAAGACATGCTGGCAAGTGACGCCCGAGTTTCGCGCCGTGGGGGCGCTGCTGCGGAACCGCTTCCACCGCGCCACGCTCATCCGGCCGCACAACCGCAACGGCGGCCAGCTGGAGCCGGGTCCCGCGGGGGCGCCATCGCCGGCTCCAGGCAGCCCCGGGCCACGCCGCCGGGCCAGCCCCGCCGACTTGGTCTACTTCGAGAAGTCGCCCGATTTCTGCGAGCGCGAGCCGCGCCTGGACTCGGCGGGTACCGTGGGCCGCCTGTGCAACAAGAGCAGCGCGGGTCCCGACGGCTGCGGCAGCATGTGCTGCGGCCGAGGCCACAACATCCTGCGCCAGACGCGCAGCGAGCGCTGCCACTGCCGCTTCCACTGGTGCTGCTTCGTGGTCTGCGAGGAGTGCCGCGTCACCGAGTGGGTCAGCGTCTGCAAGTGAGCCAGGCCTCTCCCGCAGCCAGCTCGGACCTCAGCCGGCTGGCCCGGCAGCCAGGAGACTGGAGCCACCCTCTGCGACGACAGTCCAGGACAGCCTGAACCCATCCCTGCCACTTCTCCCCGCTTTCCCCTCTCGCTGCCTCAAGAGCCAACGGTTCATCTGGGTCAGCGCTGGTCCTCCCTCCCCCCCCCCCCGTCCCTATGACCTGGGTCAGGCAGGTGTCTCCTCTCTCCCAGCCCTCTTTCCCAAGAGTAGGAGGGACCCAGTTGTCGCTGATAGGCAGCGGGAAGATTAAAGAGAAGTGGACATAGCTGGGCTGAAGTGATTCTCTAAAGGCCCCAGACACCCTCCGCTCTGGCCTTCTGAATCATTGCCACCCCCCTCCTGGTTCATTTGACAAATATTTATTTTACACCCCTGCGGCCCTCTTTTCTGGGGACACGGTTCCTGCTCTCTGGGGGTTGACTTTCTTGCTGAGGAAGATGGACAATAAACAAGTAAACACACACATACATACAAGGTCATTTCCAATGATGTGATACATACAGCAGGGAGTGTACATCCTGGGAGATGAGTGGGAGGAGGAGAGAGGGTCCCTTTGGATAGAGCCACTGGTCAGGGAAGGCCTCATTGAGCAGGAACAGTCATACTGAGGCCCGCCACTTGAGCAGGAGGGCATAAGGGTAGCAGCTTTTCCAGGCAGATAGCAATCAAATACAGAAGAAGCTGGACAGGTAGGTGGCCACTGGCTGCAAGGGGACAAGGTGACAGTTGGAAGGCTGGCTAGGGGGCCATCACCCTCCCCCCAAATCAAAGACAAAACCTGAACTGGGAGGCAGAGGCAGTGGAGAATTCTAGAAGGGGCTGGCTGCCCAGTGTTTGGTGCCAGGGCTCTAACCGCCCACCCTGTGCCTGAGCCCTCTGCCACAAGCCAGGACGAGTGGCCGTGCCCAGCAGCAACCGTCGACAGAGACAGGAGGCACTCTGAGAAAAGTAATCCTGGGCAAGACCCAGCTCAGCCCAGCCCAGCGCCCCGGGGAGCAGGAGGGGCTGGAGGTGCGGCTGGGAGGAGGGTGGCGGGGGAGGAGGCCAGGAGACTCACTGTCTGGGTTCTGGGCTCTGAGTCCAGGAGGGGGGTGCAGGACAGGCAGCCTTCGGTGCCTCTGGTGCCCCCAGGTGCCCAGGTTCAGGGTGCCCCTTTGCAGGTGAGTGTGCCTCCCCGCCCCTCACGAGGACACTTTGGGCTGAGCTGGTGCTTTGGACCTAGGATTGCATTCCTCATAGCTGTTTTTCTGGGACAGACCCTCCAGGTGTAAGCGGGGGAGATGTAAGTGGGGTCAGAATCTGGGCCAAAGAATATTCTACCTAGATCACCCAGCCCTCAGACTGCTCACAGTTGGGGACCCTGCGGGGCTTCGCTAGTTCACCCCAGTATGACACCCCTCCGGATAAACTAGACAAGGTTTATAAACCAATCTTGTTCCCATCCCCCATTGCCCACCTGTACAAACACCTGATTTTTCTGCCCTTGTTCCGTGTTCCTCTACCCCTGGAAGGGACTGAGCCCAAGAGGAGACTGGTACCCCTGTCACCCAGAGACTGGCTCCCCTCTCACCCAGTGGGGAGATTTGTCCCCATGGGCTGGCTTTCAGCTCCCTACCTCAAAGTGCCTGCAGTCCAGCCACTGGCCGACTTGCCCAGGACAGTGGGACCTCACAAATGCCCAGCTGCTTCCTGCATAGGGTTTTTCTCCCCAACCCCCCTAAAAACACAGCCCCACAGGCAGGCGGGTGAGTGTCCCTGGGGAGGAGGGGGGAGGCTGGAGCAGCTAGACACACCTGCCTCATTCCTTTCCTCTTGTTCACTCAGGATAGAGCCTTGCTGGGGTGGGGGCTGGGTTCCCTTCCCTCCTTTCTCCCTCCCTTCCATTCCAGTGAGGAGGAGATGTGGGTGGGGGGAAATGCAGGGGTGCACTCTCCACCCCCACCCCCAACCTCTGCCCCCCCCCCCCAGTACTGCCCACTGCTTCACCAGCTTCAGCCCAGCCCTCCTCAGCTTCCAAGGCTTAGGAAGGAAGGAGCCAGGAGAGAGGGGCATTACAGGACAGAGCCGGAACATTCCATCACAAACAGCATCACTTCATCACACAAACAGCAGAGCTGCTGGGGGCTGGGGGCCTGGGGCTGGGGCTGGACCTGGAGCTGTAGCAGAGAGGGACACGTTGTAGTGATCCAGGCCTGGTCATCTGGCCTGTAGAGCAGCAGTGGAAAAGCTCAGAGCAAGGAACATATAGGGGGGCTGTCTACCCACTACCTTCTCCTTGAGCCAGAAAACAGACCAGAGTCCTGGGACCAAAGGTGGTCTCCATGATGAAAAAGGCAGCAGGGGAACTAAGGACCCTACTACCTACGTGGAGATGTGGAGATAAGGAGCTGGATGCAGGGGGCCCAAGGAGGCGCACTGGCTGGAGGGCAAGCAGAAGGCAGTGGCGCCCTGATTGGAAAGGGGCAGTGGGGTGGGGATGGTGAGTAAGCAAGTGGAAGAAGAGGGACTGGGGAGAACGGGGGCTGAGGGAACAGAAGGTGCTCAGAGACCGCTGGAAGGAGAGGTCTTCTCCACTGGCTGTCACCCATAGGGTCACCAGGTGTCCTGGGAGGAGGAAGCCCGTGTTGTGACGGAGCTTCTAAGATCCCACAAGCAGAGCGAGCAGGGTGAAGACACTGGGTGGAGCGGCAGGCAGGAGCCAGGTTCAGGGTCGGGGAGCAGCGATCACGCTGGAATGGGGATCCAGGCCCCCATTCATAGGGAGACCTGGGAGTTCCCGGCGTGGCCCCCTTGCTGCGGCCACAGTGGCCAGAAGCGGGGTCAGGGCCAGCCGGGCACTCCTCCTCCTTCCCCCAGAAGAACGCGCCCCCAGCTAGCCGCCGGCAGGGGGCCTTCCACGTTGGACAGTGGCCAGCCCCTCGTCGCAGTAACCGCCTCCCCTCATGCCGTCCGTCCCCCCACCTTCTCATGTGGTTGCCGGCAGCTGCCTGCGGTCGCCCCAGCCCCTGTGCTCAAGGCACGGGGACTTTCCAACAGGGGAAAAAATGACTTAATGAGAGTGGGAGCCGGGGGCGGGAGGGACAGGTCCCTGTAATCACCGCACCGCTGTGGGGCCAGCGCGCCCCCGGGCCCTTCCCCGGCTTCCTGCTGCCAGTGGCCCCCCCTTGGGCTCTGCAGGGAGAGGGGGACGGGCTGGCGACAGGGGATCCCTTCTCAGGATCTCTGGGCCTACCCCCACCCCTCCCGCTTGCCTGCCTAGGGCTGGCCCACGTGGAAGCTGAGATACCCCGGTATCCCTCTCTAGCCCTTGTCCTTGAAGTTGGCGCGCGGGCCGGGGGAGGGGGCCACTCTTGCGAGACCAGGAATGGTCCTCGGCTGGTGGCTTCCAGTGGGGTGAAATGGGAGCAGGGGATGGCGAGGGAGCCCTTCTGGGTCGCTTCGCGGCTGCGCACTCGGAGTCGCCCGGTTGCTGTGGCAACCAGGGCAGCAGAGGTGTGTCCGCGGGGCTGGGAGGCACACCGGCCTTCCTCCCCACCCCTGCCCCCCCAGCGCGAACCTCCTTTTTGCCGCCCGCGGGGCCGGGCTCGGCCGCTGCGGTGCGCGGGGGTGGGGGTGTGCCGTTACCATGGCAAGGGGTACATTCTTCTCCAGGGTGGAAGCGCCCTGAGGATACGAGAAGCCGGGGGGAGGTGACGGGGGCGGCCGACAGGGGAGCGGGGTGGGGAGGGGGCTGGTCGGAACAAGGGAGGAATTTCGGACAAGATCAACCATGGCTTCCGGAGCTGGTGTGGGCAGTTTAGAATCTGCCTCCCGCTCCACCATCGGGGTTCGGTCCCCACCCTCGCCCAGTATGCCGGGTTGGCGACCCTTGACTGCTGACCTGAAGGGCTTTTGACTTCTTTCTCAAAGGCCAGGCCCACGGAACTTTAAGGGGCGCGCCCTTCTCTGCTCCCCCGCTCCACCCGCCTTCCAGGGAGCTGCAGGCCAGACTGCCGGCTGAAGCCCTACAATTAAGCCCCTCAGCCGTCCCCTGCGCCGCCCGCCGGTCCTCCGCCAGGCGGGTCTGCACCGCCAATTACAGCCGCGCGCAGCAGCTGATTACCCGGGGCCCGGGCAGCAGCCGCGGGTGGGGACAGCCGCCGCCGGGTCATGGGTTGTCCCTGGCCCCAGGGTCCTTAACCGGAGCTTCCTCGGGCTCTGGACTTTATGGGGGAAGGTTACGGTGTCTTATGCAGCGCTCCACGCCTGCCCGGTTTGTGCCTCGGTTTCCCACACTGCGCTAGGGGCCAAGAGACTGCAGAAGGATGTGCGAGTGGGTTGCAGCGTCTGGAGTGGACACTCCGAGCACGTTAAGTTCGAGGCCCGCAAGGCCGGCTCTGCTGGCCTCGGGCCACCCCTCCTGGACCCGGGTCTGTGTTGTGGCTCAGCCGACCGCCGCTGCGCTGCGCCTTTCTGTGGGACTCGGAAAGGGCTCCCCCTCCGCGTGGGAGGAGCCTCCCGACCCCCTTTGGCCCCCACAAGGGCAAGCGATGTGCGAGTGTGCAGTGTCCTGTCCGCGTTCCTGACCCCGGCTGTCCCTCTGCCGAGCTCGGGCAGCGCTTCTCGCCTCCCGCAGTCCAGCTGCCCGCATCTGGCCCGCAGCTGGGCACCGCCCACCGCCAACTGCTGGGGACACAGCGCCCTCTGTTGGCGCGGAGCCGCCCAACGCCGACTTTGGGGTCCCGCCATTCCCAGCCGAGGGGTTGGGGTCACTCTCCAGCCGGGTGCGTCCTCTGCCTCTTGGCTCCCACACCCCGCTCGCCCAAGCGTTCTGGTCTCCGCAGGACGCGGCCTTGCTGACCACTCTTCCTCTGTCACTGTGGTCTTAAAGCACCTAGCTGCCACCCAGCCTTCCCTCGGCTCCAGTAGGCTGGTTCTGCGGCGCCATGTCTCAGCGCCCAATGTAAAAAGCCCTAAA